AAAAAAAAATCAGGCTATGCTAAGCAATGTCAAATAAATGACATAGGCTATGTTTCATTGCATTTTAAACTAGATTTGTTTTATCTATTTTTAATTCAATCTGTAAACAGATAAGCTATGTAAAATTTGCAATGAATATATTATGGTTAATTTTCCAACATTTCAGTAACACATAAGGACTCTTTATCAACGATTTGACACTAATATTATTGTGCTAAACGTGAGCACAGACCTCTGTCAGACTGGACCCTACAACCTAAATAGTAGTGGGAAATAAATTGACTAAACCCCAAGGGACCAACTTCACTCGACTAATTTCAGCAGTAGTGCGGCCCCATTGGAGTCCTATGGAGGGACAGTTACATTATACTTACAAGGGAATAAAATCCGAACAGAGGAATTTCTGAGGGACCTCGAGGGACTCCCAAGAGATATGAATAGATTTTATTCCTACGAGTGAAAAAATACCCAATTCCTTTCTTATAATAAACGATATAATTTTATACTTACTGCTTTGTGCTATTCAGTGTTGAATGAATCGATAAATATGTCCAGTTGATGAAAAAAAAAAAAAAGTCAAACATTTTTAAAATAATATATAATTCGTTAATACGAACGTACGAATCTGTATACAGACAATTTTTTTATCCGAAAAAAATTATATATTTATGATCATTAATCGATTAATGTGCGGAATGTTTGTCTAGAACTTACCTGGTATAACTTTCAATAAACGTATACACTTATATGCACCTTAAATTGCGTAATTCATATAAATATTTAATAGCAATGTTTTATATAATTCATAATATCATGTTGTTATTTATACGATTTTAGAGATATAATTTCTTATCAGTAAATTGTGAACAGAAAAAAAAGTCTCTGGATTTTACTGAATGTATTTCTTACTCAGGTTGTGATGGATGTAAAGCAAAAAAATAAGTAAAATAAGAAATAGGATATTGGAAATCAAAAACATACAATTTTTTATCGTAATTCTAATATTTTTTGCTAAACATTTTTATCGTACTGTCGTATGTTAAGAATATAAATAGTAAAGCTGAAAGGCAAATAGGAAATAGAAAAAAAAATAAAATTAGGAAACGAAACAAATATCAAAATCATGCCTCAGTAAATATAAGTCACAGGAGCGAAAAAACAAATAAAAGTATAGCATTAAAAGAATCTTAAATAATTTTACATGAAATTCCAAACAGCCTAATACGGATACAATTACTATTCGAAACATGCTTATATGTAACACTGTACATACTTTTATCAATTTATGTTTATTTACAATATAATTGAAGGTTTTAGATTCAACCCTGAAGTTTTTGAACTATTTAAGAACCATGACGGAACAACAATAATGAACAATACAAATGTTAAGATAGGTATACCATGCCGTACTAATGTCTAAAAATGCTGATTTTTAGATACGCTCCGGTTATGATTCTAGACATAAGGCAGGTAATGGATTGAGATAGTCAGACTGTCATGTTTTGTCGGGCTTTAACAACCTTTCGATACGACTTCTAAGATTTGACAGATAACATAGATTATGTTGCCCAACGTTATTCTCTTATTAGCATATGGTTGCGAATCCGGTCTTCAGGTTTCTTTTTACTTGTCACATTTAATGATGGTTGTCAGGGAACATAATCTAAAGTGATGATAATAGTTTGACTTTTATTTTTGTTTCATCCAAACTGTGCATCAAAGATGAACAATGAAAGAAGTTAACTGCTATACTACAATAATCATTTATAATCATAAGTTCAAGGAACCGATGAATCTTATAAGTGAAAAATTATGAGTGAAAATTATAAAAACTCTTTTTAATCAGTCCACAATGAGCTATTATGAATCATAACCATTATAAACTAAAATTGAACCGTAATATATTTTTTTTTTTTTTTGCTAGCCGCTTATTTATTTTCCTGACAATATTCTATGTTTTGGGATTCTCCTTCTTCTCCGTGTTTGCATTCTAAGGAGGTTTATATCTCATTATTATTTCTGATAAAGTAATGGGGCTCATTTTTTTTATTATTATTTTTTTTTTATTGAAGTAATAAACTAAAACTCAAAAAGCTATAATTTAATTTTCCAAACAAATTTAGCCAGCTTTCAGGAGGTACAGAAGGTTCAAGTTGATTAAATGAGGGATTTGGTATGTATTTTTTGTAGAGAAGGATGGTTGGGATTTGAAATAACGTAGATTTGAAAAAGTTGGTATGCCTTTTAGTAATGAAATCCTTAACTTTAGTTATTTTAAATTCCTGTTAGAGGTTAAACGCTTTTTTTTTTTTTTTGCATAGTCGTCCCTTCAGTTTTTTTTTCTTAATATTACATTTTGAAATGTTTGCAGAAGTTTTTCTGTTGATTTGTTAATCATTGAAAACAGTGATGTGCCATAACATACGAGCAGAACGTATTATAGTTTTGTAGATTAAAACTTTATAAAAGATGATTTAATGCATCTGATTTCTGTGAGCCACATCACCTAATCATTACACAGGAATCAACTATATTACCAGAAATAATAATGAGATATAAACCGCCTTAAAATGCAAATATGCAAAAGAAGGAGAATTCCAAAACATTCAACATTGACAGGAAAATAAATAAGGGGATATAAAAAATAAAAATATTACAGTTTAATTTTAGTTGATAATGATTATAAAATAAAAGTGGAACTACAATTTTCATCACTTTAGATTATTTTCCCTGACTATCATCATTAAATATGATTTTTTAAATTTAATTCTTGATACAAAAATGGGCAGAAAATCTTAAATGCCAATCAAAGGTAACTCGATTTGTTTAGAAAGTTTATTTATATAGTTGTTGATTTCGAATTTGAATGTGAACCACAGTATATAATCATAACAAAAATATGGTAGTTAAAGCAAATCAATGAGCGTAAATCTGTTGATTTAAAAAAGAATGTTTAATATAACAAAAAAAAAGTAAGGATGTCATATTTCTATTTACTGTTCTATCAATCTAAAATATTTGCGTATTTATTCATTTTCTTATTATTTTTTCACAGTGAAATTGGTATGAATGTGTATACTTATATTTGATTTCTCTTAACTAACGATTATAATAATTTACTTTAAAATAATTCATTTGATTATATTAATGCAATTAATATACTAATTAAATTAATTTAATTTATATAATTTGATAGAATAAATTCCAAGTGAACTAAATATTACAGTATGTAGCCTTTTTTTGTTCAATAAAAATCAGTAAATATATTTATTATTTAAACTTCTTTACATAATCTTCCTCCTCTTCGAAGAGACTGAGTTCTTTAAGTCTGTTAATATCTTCCCTTTAATTAAAAGACTCCTGCAATTAATATAGTGTAAATATCTTATACTATAGAGTATAATATCTTATACTGATTTCTTACTGGACTGTTATAGAAGAGGATAATAGAGAGGGTCTGTTAGGTGCTCAGGTCCACCCCTAGTATAAGGAGAGGGGTGGACTCCTTTTCTTTAATATTTCAATTAAAGAAAAGGAGTTCAAAGACTCAGAGAATATAATAATTCCATGCAACTATTCCTGTAAGGAAAATAAAATTGTCAACATCAAGAATATGAAATGTTTTCAACGGACTTTGGTTGGCGAATAGGTCACAATTACATTTTCACCATCACGCAGGTGTGCTAATCAATAAGCGAAAACAAGTCGGCGTTATCACCTCAACAGGTAACCAACAATTAGTCACAGGCCTAATTGTTTCATTACTAAGAACTGGTTATGGCGCCCGGGTAATGACCATACGTACGACTAAAGCATCGTTAAAACATTTAGTAATTTGTCAGCGACATGTCACATTTTCTTATCTGAAGGGTCATTATGCAAGTTGGTGCTGTATAATCATCAATTTTTTCTGCAATCATTTCCTTCTGAAGGCGATCAACCATTAAGAGTCACTAAGAAATTAAAATTAAATTACTTATATAAATTTTTACTTTAATAAATAATGTAATAAATATAATCATGAAAAAATTAAATTAGTCTAATATCATGACTCATCTTCAAAAAACATAAAGAGAAACATATTTATTCGGAAATAAATACATTATTTTATCTGAGTAAATGAACGGTAAATGAAAAATCGCTCATAGATTAAGTACAAATACCTGTTACATATTTAAGTTGATTAAATAAAACCTGATCTTGTAACAAATGATTAATAATAAAATGTATTCGAGATCCAATGCAGAATATAAATCAGGAAAAACAACAGTAAAAATAAAAATTAGAAAAGGTGTACGACAAGGTGATACCTTTTCACCTAAAATATTTATATCAGTTCTCCACGATTTGATGCAGACTATGAATAGGCAGAAGAAAGGAATGAAAATTTTTGGAGAGTGGCTGAACCATTTAGAGTTTGCTGATGATCAAGTCCTAATAGGTAAAAATATAGAAGAAATCCTAACGATGGCAAACCAATTAATAAAGACTGGAGAAAACATAGGACTGAAAATAAATTATAAAAAATGCAATTATATGTCAGTGAACGTTGAGGGAGATATAAAAATAGGTGAACATCATATAGAGAAAGTAGATACATTTCTATATCTTGGGCACCATATCTCAATTAAAGGACAAAATGAAGAAATAATCAGGCGATGTACCCAGGGATGGCGCGCACTCTTCAAATTTAAGGATATATATAGATCCTCGGTGAGCTCAGAGGTCAAGAGAAAACTTTGGGTGAGCACAGTACTTCCTGTCATGACCTATGGTTGTGAAACATGGGCAATTGACCAGAAGACTTGCCACAAATTGAGGATAACCGTCAGAGCAACGGAGCGATATCTTCTGAGGATAACTCGAAGGAATGGAAAAACAAACAGATGGATCAGAGCTAAGACTGACCTTCCAGATATTGTGAAAAAGTGCTCATCAGGAAGTGGACCTGGACCGGACATGTAATCAGGAAGAATGAATTAACATGGACCAGGCAGTTCATGGATTGGTATCCAAGAGAGCACGTGAGGAAGAGAGGAAGTCCGCCGACAGACTGGGACAAGGAGATGAAGAAGACCTGCGAGGGAGCAGCCTGGAAGAGAGTAGCATTAGAGAGGAAAGAATGGAAAAGGATGGGACAGGTTCATTACCCAGTGTGGTTACAAGAAAGTTAAGTACAAAAAAAAAAAAAAATCGAACTCAAAACCTCAACTAAGTTGATTTTGTACATATAAGAGATTTTGTATATTTTTATCCATTGTTTTTTCATTGTATGCACAAATAAAGGTTATTATTATTATAATAAAATATCTATTTAAAACTGAAATAATTAATGGCATTTAATAACCGGGTTGCCCACAAGGGGGTTTCATTTTGAAATGTTCAAATATTTTGAGGTGGGCACATTTTGACGGAGCTTTGAATTTTTTTGGGGGGGAGAGCAGGAGATACATTTCGACGTCGTTAAGTATTTTCGGGTTGAAAAGTTTCAAGCCAGGGAACGAGAGAAAAGCGCGAAGAGCACACTGAAAGTGTAATTATATATAACCTATGATTTTTTAAATTTTACTTTAGCTTGCACTGTTTTAAGAAGGGAAGAGAAATAAAATATCTTTGGAGGAAGAGAGAGGGAGGGTAATGCGCCTTCAACCTTAAGAGGGAAATGGACGCCCCTGCATTAGAACGATAGATACAAAAAAAAAAAATTAAAAATCTGTTATGTAGAAATAATAATTTAAATAATATACCAATTGTTTGATAGGTCAATTAAGTGAACATTGCTTTATTTTAACAATCGCAATCTTATACCAATTCTTTGGATATTGTTTATTAGAACATTACTAAATCCATAAAATATTTTTCGTACCAGTAAACTGGATACAAGCCAAAGAAAAACATGATTTACTAGTAGATGTGCCTTGGTTACGTTTGGCTTTGGAAAGGAGGGCAATAACATAAATTGAAATATATTGTACTTTGAGGAAATGAAGAAAAGAAGTTAAAAATATATTTAAAGGAAATAAACGGGATAGCGTGGTAGAAACACCCAAGTAATAGATTTATTTTCTTTACCAGAGTGTAAGGATTTCAATAAGTTATGACATTAAAATGGTCTAAATAAAATAAATCAATGAATAAAAATAATAACAAAAATTTAAATTTTAAGAAATTGCTCTGAAAATATGTCACCCTTAAGGAAACTTATAATAATGTCCAGAGAGCACACTCACTCTATATTTACAATAAATAAAAATAAATAATACATAAAAATAATAATATTTATTTACGAAATTTAACCTTCTTATTTTTTTTCTTAAAATTTATAAGGATGAGGTATTTATATTATTATAAAAGTTATCATATTTGCTTCAATGAAGTAATTACAATAAAAATACATAAGAATTAAATGATCATGAATTGTAGTTACTTACGAAAAAAAATTGTCATTTGGAGAATGGTCACTTACCTGAAAAAAATAAAAAATCCGATAAAAAAATCACAATTGTTAAAGTAATGAATTCTTAGGATTAAAATGTTGTTAAAACATTGAAATAACAATGATAAGTCTATAAGCCAGACATTATACATTATCTAACAAACAGAAAAAAACAAAACCTATTCAGACGAATATAATTACCAAAAAATGACAACGGAACTCACACCACTAAGTTTCTTTTTTTATTATTGTTATTTCTTAGGGTAGCCAAATTTAAGGGAATTTGATAGTAAGAAACTAATGTTGATGATTAATGAAACGTGAAATGTCAACAGAAGATATACAAAATTTGAATTAAGAAACATGAGGTATCTGATTTTGAAATATTCCGAAATAACGCAAATAAGAGATGAGTAACTAATGCCCGATCCACTCTTATTTTATCATGAAATACATATAATGGAGATAATCCATAATTTATTTATACTTTAAATATTTATTTGCAACCGTCGACTTATGTAGATAATCAGCAAATGTGCTGAAATACGAGAAATAATGATATGTCAGGTAGGACATGATGAAGGACGGTACTCAGCAGGGCCTCTTTTTCCTTACTTGTTTCAATTACTTAGGTTATCTAAGAAAAGAGATCTCTCATCCAACACCTTTTTAGTCTCTTGCTAATATATTCAGGGGTATGTCAATTGTCGTCATGTTAATTTTAAATCGCGTTAAATTGATTTAAAATCGTTGATAGTGGGTCAGTATGTAGAGTTATGTTAGTCACATACCACCAAGGTGCTTTTTTTGCTTGAAGTCGTAATAATTTTGATTAGAAGGTTTGAAGTTTTTGTATAAAATATCCCATTTTCGATCAATTATTTTGTTTTGTATACATTATAATATTATAAAAATGTCTATAAAAAATAGCTAACATATAATATAATATAATATATAATATTAATATATAATATTGAATAAACAATAGTTGAGCGTTGCACTATAAACGAAGGAGATGGTTCGGAGTGGCGGTCATAAATAGGCTAAATACAGTATAATACAGTATATCAGTTACGCTTAGATTATGACAGAATATAATTATTAAAATATAATTTATGATACGTATAATTAATGAATTTCCATTTGAATAGAAATTCTACGAAGGCTTTGAAAAGAATTTCGCCGGGAGAGAAGGGATGACTTTTCCATGTAAAGGAAGGAGCCTTATTTTTCGATTCATCCCTGCTTCATATTCCGCCGGTATCATCCTTTGCCCATATTATGCTGAATATTTAAGCACACCTATAGTCCCTTTATTCATAGAGCAAAGTCATCTCCACCGGCGTAGGATGAAAAATAAACTTCACTAACAATGAGCTAAGTTTATCGAAGTAGGATTATGAAGTCAAGAGAGAAAATTTCGAACAATTAATGAAAAAGGGATTGGAAGGATGAATTAATGGATTGGATTGAAAAAGAACTGATTTATGGATTTAATTAAAAAGCTAATATCTAAAACAAAAAATCTAGAAGAGGATTACAGGTCCAGCTAAAAATGAAAAAAATAAGATTGCAGAGGCACGTCGTTTTAATGAAACTAAAAATAAAATAAGAGATACAGTTGAATTCCACTTTCATGGAATATTATATATGGAACCAGGATGTTCTCCGAATAAGAGATGAGACATTATCAGAAAATAAAAAATCTAACTGTGATGGCATTAATAAATGTGAAAAAGGAGAAACTATGTAGATTCATACAAAAAAATCGCTACAAAACAGCATTGTTAAGTAAAAAAAAAAAATTTAAAAGTTAGAAAAAAGTTGAAAGTTGATACAGAATGGATTGAGAATTTCCAGGAAAACATTTCATCTCTATTTTCACAAAAAAAAAAAAAAAAAAAAAATGTAATTAGCATATTAGCGCTTCCTTTTCAAATAAATAATTTCTGATTAATAAAAAATTCATATAACTCCCATTCAGTGCTGTTTAAAAAACGCATTTTTTTTTAACGAATAATCCATTCGTAATGAGGTAACGTAGCTGAAAAAGGTTATAATTTATATATATATATATATATATATATATATATATATATATATATATATATATATATATATATATATATATATATATATATATGAGAAGGAGTTAGTCGAGGGTGCGGTCAAATAAATAAAAAAAAATTAAAATATATAAATTATTTTAATTTGACTATAATATAATATAAAATATAATAAATTATTTTGGCAAAAATTAAAATAATTTATACAGGCAAAAATTAAAATAATTTCTATAAGGCAAAAATTAAAATAATTTATATATTTGATTTTTTTTTTTTTTATATTCATTTGACCGCAACCTCGACTAACTCCTCATATTATATCAACGGTCAACCATCTCTACATCATATATATATATATATATATATATATATATATATATATATATATATATATATATATATATATATATATATATATATATATATATGTACATATTTTTTTTTGTCTCATTATTATAATTATACCTTTTGCCTTCGCAATTGTTTGTTTCGTCTTTATGGATTTTAGTTGGATTTTACATGGTGTTTGTCTGTATGTTTTTATCTGATCAGATGTTTGATTATAACCTCCCTCTGCTGAGTTACCTTAGCTTCCTGTCAGTAAGCGACTTTATGTCACGGAGTGAAGCGAGCTTCGATTGTATTTTATTTTTCTGTCCCGATGAAGTCTGAATTGGCGAAACGTCGGCGAGTTTCTTATTTTTACCTTCATTTTGGGGACAAGACTGTGTGGTTGGAAATTTTTCAATTATAACCTTACATTGAATTTCTATCTCGTTGTGAGTTTTTTCACTGATTTATATTATTATTTAATATAGTTAATTATATATATTTTCTAATTCTGTTCATTTATTCGCATCTTCTACAAATAACTAAGAAATAATCAGCAGTTCTTATGCATTACCTCGTCTTTGGGTTTAGTCTAGATCATGAGATTATGGGATGAGATCTTTCATCCATTTCTTTTTTGTTTCATTTTATTGTCAGACATGCAAGTGCTTATTTTTTTAATATTTTTCATATGCTATTCCCATGCAGTTATACAGAACCAACGCTTGTAATGAGTCCAAATAAACTACTAATTTGTTGCAATATGACAGACAGTAAATAAAGTTGCTGACAACGTTTTATGGCGATTTTGTAGTAACTCACATTTTTAAAATACGAATTTCATATCTATTTAGGTCGAACTATTTATTATATTATTACTGAAACCTACACATACACATGATAAATACAAAATGGATCATAACCGTAATTTTCATGTTCAAATTAACAGATGCGAAAACAAATAAGAATGAAACAAGGTTTTTGATTCGTTTAATATGTTTTTAAAACGGAAATGTTGAAATTTTCGAATCGGCTTTTAAAATTTATTAAAAATCCGACGCCATAAATTCATATGAATTGGAATTAGTAACTTTAAGAAACAAGTGATAAATGAAGGAGATAAAATGACAGTGGCTTAAGTCATTTATGTAATGTAAGTAACGTCAATTAAAATCTTCTCAATAGATAATTTAATGGTATAAAAATAAAACTTGCAAATATATAGACAATTTTAGATTCTTTTTTTATTATCAAAAAAATATAACCATGTAAATAAACGAATTTAAAATTATTATTGTTTTATGTATATATCTCTATTTTGTCAACAATTTCATCAACATTACATGTTACTTTATTTTTAATGTGACGCATATAGACATAAAACATTTATATCTGTTTTGTTTTTGAATTATAGCCTTTTGGCGATAGTCGATTGATCTGCAGGAGTCGTTATAAGTCTGCTTAACATTATCAGCAATTCTATGCGAATTAATTAATTTTTTTTTATTTGTATAAAATTATCCACTTTAACCTGTATTGTGTTTAACATGCCCAATCCCACAATCAACGTTTAGAAACTATTTTGCGCAATAGACCATTGTACGTTATCTTGCGAAAGTGACGGGGCAATGAAACATGTCTTCTAAAGATGTCTCATCTTTATATTAGAAAATAAAACGTTGAAGAAAAAATATTTTACAAAATTATAACGCGTAGACAGGGTTTATTGATATATAAGTTATCTTGGTAAACGAGTGCGAACAAGCTCCGTCAAACGTCACTAAAAGCTAAATGGCGAACTGTCGTCACAATATGAAAATTCGCAGCCATTATGTAAAGCAGCCAGTTCTTTTGATGGGCGAAAACAATCGGGTTTTAAGAGCTCTATGAATATAACAACAGACTAATAGACTTAGTTCTTATTGGCCTTAATCAAATTTTGTTTTGCCTAAACGGTTGAATATTCACACAGAAAACCAAAGTAAACATTTAAAACTATTCATTATATACAACACCAATAAACTAAAATAAATGTTTAAATTAGTAAAAAAAAGAAATAAAAAATAATTGCAGATGAAGAATGTAGAACAAATATATGTAACAGGTAAAACTGAAATATGAAACACAACTGACAATAGAATATGAGAAAAAAACAAAACATAATTTGTATTGAAGCGTATGTGGATGTATGTGCGCATGTGTGTAAATATTAAAATCGCGTTTAAAGCGATTTCTTTAGTTTATTGCGATTAAAATTTATCAAAAGCTCGAACAAATCATTGATGAAGTATTTAACTAAATTTGTCAGAAATGATTTCACCATTTACTCAAAATAACATAAAAAACTTTATGCTGTCATAATGTCATCATAGACATTTGTATTTTACAAGGAGAAAAAGGAAAATCAAAACCATGAGTATGCATTAACGAGTGTTTCATTTAACGGATTCGAGATGTAGTGACATTAAAGAATGTTGTTGGTATAGTTGTTTGAAATGCGATATCTGTATAAAATGTTAATAATAGAACATGATTGATCCATCATATGACGTAAATATGACGTTAAGCATCACCGAATTTGGGATTTAATTTGGAAAGAAGGGGGCTAAAATTATTTATTTTATTTTTTTAATAACAACGATTAAAGAGAAATGATTTTTGTGATAAAATGTTTATAATTATCTTGACACGTTATCCATTTAATTTAGCTAAATTTAGTATATTTAATAGAGTTAAAGTTTAAAAACATAACATACTGTTCAAGCATTTGACTATAAATAGTTGTTTTTAAAATAGTGTTGGGTCATGCATTTATAATATAAATAAGTAAATTCAGACAATATGAGGTTTTAAATTACTTCAAAAGCGTGTATATATATATATATATATATATATATATATATATATATTTTAACTAGACTTAACTCGTCCTTCATTAAAAGGATTGTGTGTCTAAATCTGCTAAATTGCAGTGACGAATCTTTCTTATGTAAAGTCAGTAAGATCTAACACGTGAATTCCATGATAACGGGAAATAATTTATTCAAATAACTATAAAGATTCAGGTAGAGTTCGAAATGCATTTATATTTCATTAAGTAATTTTAAGGTTTTATTAAAAGGATTGAATTCTTCAATAGACTTCATACCATTATTTTTTTTTTTTATTTGATTCTTCCAATTGCCGTATTTGGTTAACATGGAGACATAATTTTTATAAGAACTATCAATTTGTTCAGGGAAATTGACAACTTTTCTAACCGAAGTTTAAAAGTGATATTATAAACATAATAATAATTTAAGGGGATTAATTTTTAGTAGTATTTTAAAATTAATTTTTAATGATATAACTACGGTAATAAAAATACTAATTGAAGAATTAATTTTTACAGACGCGGAGGCTGGTCAGAAGAAGAGGGGAGGAGGTGCGACTTGAACTGGCGGAGGCGTCAGGAGCTCATACCCAGGGCCAAGTTGAGACAGCCTTCTCCGGAATATTCCAAGTAAGTCTGTCATTAGTACATACTCATATGATCTATATATATATATTAATTAATTTAAAAAATTTAATTTGAAAATGATATTTTTTTAGAAAAGTATAAAAATCTATTATTATTAGAATAATTTCATATTTTATTTCCCTTTCCTATTTTCCGAATCAGCACAGCAGCAGGCTACGAAATGTCACCTTTATCGCAAAGAGAATAAACATGTAAATTTTCACATACGACCTTTTTCACTAACAGTAGCGATATTGAAAACGATAATAATTTTTAAAAAACATGTATTTACGTGTTTATATTTATTCTACAATATTAAAAAGAGAATATTTTAAATATCATATTTATTTTTTGTTTTAAAAGTTTGTCAATAATTCGCCGTCATTTTCAAAATTGGTTTTGATATATTTCTGATGCCATAATCGCCACAAAGTCAAAAATGTAAATAATCTTTTTTATAAACACTTCCCTAAAATAGTGCCATATGATAAAAATAAAACTATTTTAGAATCGGTAGTGTTATTATACTACTATAAGACCAACATATTGATATACCCGCCCAAACATATATGTTATTTTATATCTTCATTATATGTTAATTGATTTTTCATAAGTGACTGATATTACTTTCTTTTTATAATAATCAAACTTTTTACAGTACGTTTGTTTCAGCTGGAAAAGTTTTATTACATTTAAGTGTGTCGTTATACCATATCTTTCTTAATACTTCATAAAGTTCAATGATCGAACCATGACCCTTCCCGATAAGCCTAAAAAAAAATTGAAAACAGAGCGAAAAAATTTACGAAGAAGAAAACTTGGTTGTTTTCTACTTTCAATTCACCAGTGAATTTTTTTCATTTCTACGAGATTCATATTCATATTTAGTGTAGTTTAATAACTCCAGATCTCATATTATATTTAAATAATTATGTATCTGTCGTCCGTTTATTCCGAAAAATCGTCATTTAATCTTTAATGAAATTAAATTAATGAATAATTTCATGAATTCCCCCTTTGTGAAATCCCAACATTATCTAGTTACAATTAGTGTGACAACTACTGAACTATATCTGGCAGGCAATAAAAATCTCGTAAATTTAATTCAGTAAACTTTACAATGAAAAATAGGTTTAATATCTAGTAGTCGTATAATTCATAATCATTCATATGTTAAATATACGAGTGTACTTTTAAATCAATCTAGGGCATATTTGAGCCTCTCTGCTTACAGAATGACTAACTCCAATTCAGATTTTTTTATTATTAATTTTAGTGATATTTTAAGTGAGAAAAGACCTTTATTCTCAGTTCTATATTTCAACACTGCAATCATCTACTCTGGAATCAACTTACTCACTGTCTGTACTGATATTATAAATTTTTCATCTAGAAAAATTACTAAAAAAACATTACTCAAAAATGTTTGTCATTCGTTCAACTGAAAGGCACATATATAGCTCAGAGACTGGAATTATGTAATTTAAAAAACAGATGGAGTTATGAGCTTTTTATTGCATAGTGTCGATGTAATAAATAGGCTTTTTGTTATTTTAACTGTCTTAATGATCTGTTAGCTGTAAGTTTTAAGATATAGCACCGTTTAAAATGAACATGAATATTTTCATAATAGTCCATCATTTCCAGAAAATAATTTCTATTCAAAGTAGAGGGGTAGTGAAAATTGTGTGTTGTGCGCACCAGATTTATTATTTAAGATTGAAATATGATACTACAGATATAGGTGATTTTCTATCACAATCTAAATCTCATAGAATATACAATATTTTGGTGTATTGTTCAAATTATTTATTATAATCTTTATTTATTATAGTTGGGACAAAGTTTAGATAAATTGATCTAGTTAACACAAATTGAAAGCATCGACTTGCAATAAGATCAGCTACTAAGCCAACCCCAGCAAGTAAATATTTACGTCTACTGCTTGCAACATTTAGCACATCGCTGAGAAATTGCCGCCTGTGGTAACATGATATTTATAATGCTGTTTGGCTAAAGTGATGTTCATCAAACACCTAAAATAGCCAACCGATAGATAAAATAGATCTGTTTTTATTTTATAAATCGATAAATTTATGGAAGCGAATAAGTTAACATTTGTTAAAGCAAGTACTTTAAATAAATACCCTTTGCGATGTTTTTTTTAGTACAAGCAATCTAAATAATCTAACTTAGGAAAGAGGTGAGTACTGTTCTTTCTAAGCATGACATGTAATTATATCATGTGTTATAGCGGAGCTAAATTACCACTTGGGCTCATTGTCGACCCAAATTAACAGGTGCATATAAATATTTAAAGGCGTAAAAAAAAAAATACAAACAACAATTACAATTATTTTCGGATTTAGATTTTTAATTTAATTTTAAAATTATTTATTTGTAAATATTACAAACTTTTGGTAAGTAAGTAATAACTAGTTGGCCCGTGCAAATAATTCACAAAGAATATTGGTCACTGAAACTATAAAAAAATAATACACAATTCTACGTATCATAAGATGATTTCCTATTCTTTAGCTAACTTCAATCGAACAAGTAAAAGATAATTATTATAAAACTCCATTCATGTCTTAAACCAAATTTACCAAAATGTTCACCAATTAAAATAAACTGTATCTCACCTAACCGAATTCCATGATTTATTTGCTCCTTTTTTTTTTGAGAAGTTAGTAATCTTTGGGTACAATCAACAAAAAAATATATACTTTTTAAATTATTCGAAAATAAAATTTCTTTTCCTTCAATACTTTTCTCCTTGAAATTACGAGTGTATGTGACTATTTTTACTAAAGGAGAAGATCTTCAAAATCAAGGCTTAATCATTGGATTTGATGAAGAACTTGCAAAAACATAGCGTACAAATAAAAAAAAGTTTAAAAAAAAAGTAATATATAAAGGCTATAGTGCACGTTAATGCATAAAATCTTATTTAAAAAAGAAACGGAATGTAGGAAAAAAATCGCTTACATATTGTTATATTATTGTATCTTTTTTATATTATCAATGACTGTTGCTTGAACTATTTAAGATGTTATTTAATAAAAATTCCAATTTAGTAATGATATTTGCATATGTACTATATAATGCATTTGTATCAACTTGAAACGTTTATAATTTCTCTAAATTTTTAGTAACATAAACTGATTTCAATACTTTTCTAGTATTAGAATTTTCTTTACTTATATATAAATCTCAGTATTATTAAAGTTAAAGGTGTGTTTCTCTTGGGTGCTGTGTGTTAAAAGTCCTGTGCAAATGTTGTATTTTAAATTTTAAATTGATTTTATGTTGATTTATTCTATTTTTCGAGTTCCGTTTTGTTTGCCGTTTGTAACATGCATTTTTGTTATTTTCATCAGTGCTATACAGTCCATGCAATTTATTTCGTATATGTCTGTTTTGTCATTTTTATTGATGTTTTTTTCTAAAATTTAAATCTGATTCCCATAAGCCCTATTTTAAATTGTATTGGTTATTTTATCTGTGAGCATATTGATATGTGTTATTCTGTAAAATCTTAAGTTTGTATGTTGTTGAATTTTATTATTTATTTCATAATTTTCAATACTGTCAGTGGATGATGCTACACTACGGTTGAAGGGTTTGAAAAACTGAGTGATTAGAAAACAAGAAAAGTGAAAAATAAATATGGTGGAATAAATACAACATAAACTTTATTACGAATCCAATTTTCTCTGAAACTAAAATAAATATAGGAAAAATGCATCTAAATAGAAAACATCAAAAGATATATGGGGAGGATGGACGATTTTTCAGTTGTAAATTTTATACTGTTCGAAGAATGATTTTAAAGCTGAAAGAAAGCTATAGAGAAAATAAAATAAGTCGAGGACATGAGACCTGCAATATTTCAGTAGGTCTGTGTCGATGCGGGTGGCATCGGCAGTCACGAAAAATTGTAAAAAATATCGTTTAGACGTGAGAAGAGAAATTTACCTTCGTTACATAAACCTGTGGAGTTGCGTATTGGTAACTGTGTATGAGGACTGTGAGCATTGGCATCCACTGCTTAACGCCCATAGAAGTTGTTTTTTATTCATTCAGCAATAGGGAGTTTTTTTTCAGCCAATATACTTTCATTGGTGGGGTATCAAAAGCGTTTGTCATTTACTGGATAGAACGTTTTATACACTTTGTTTTTTTTTTTACTTTAAGAATGAAAAAAGTGATTCTTAAATATCACAACTACCTCAGTAGCGCCTAAACGAATGTACCGATTTCAATGAAACTTCGCTAAAGTCATTCTCCCGACAACTTTTAAATTTATCTATATAACATACTTCAAGCTGGAAAAAAGTTACGAAGGATGGTAAAATTAAATTCCGAATAACTCAAAAAGTATACAATTTTTTGTGGATATTGTGATAAGATGTTTCAAAGGCATTTAAATTTCCTAAATAATGAAAGAAGTTTCATCGAAATCAAAGCACTATTAGTAGAGATATGGTGATTTTAAAGTATTTTTACTTTCACTTACGTATATATGTATTATATAGTAAGGATATATATAGAATACTATATATATAGTAGGGTAAGTATTGCGATCGAGAAAATTTTTAAATCTGAGTTTTCAACGGAAATACACGTTTTGGGGTACCGTGAGTCCAAATAACAAAGTCCCACTAAATTGGGTGTGCCTGTGTGTGTGTATGTTAGCAATCTAGCTCACGAAAAGTCGTACGAAACTGATATCATATATTTAAGATAGGTATATGCCTTAGATGAGACAGTAACTTTTTCCTTAATATCGGCTAACCGGAAGTGCCAATTTATATAAACGCCGAAACACATTTTTACAATTTTCTCAAAAATGGCTATAACGATTTTGATTAAACTCAGTGTATCATTGTATAATTAAGTGGTCTTTAATATCAATTAGGTCTTATCCCCATTGGTGTCACTTTGCAGTGCTTAAATGCCCAATGTTCATATACGTCTCCCTCTAAAGTACCTTTAATATGATTTATTTTAAAAAGCTATTTTTTAGTTTCAGTTCAGTTAAAAATGTAATTCAAAAATTTTATAATAGCCCAACACGGCCAGAAAATAATTTCTATTCAAAGTTGAGCGGTAAGTGAAAGTTGTGTGTTGCGCGCACCAGATTTTTTTTATTTTTCATTCACAGCAAGTTAACAATCAATTGCGCCATGAAAATTTCTGGGTTTTCAAGTCTT